GTGACGCAGGTGCAACAGAGCATACATGTATACATTGTACTGCTTTGATTCCGTGCAAAGGTCATAAATCAGAAGTTGTGAAGAATAAAAATTATTGTATTAAACACTCTGTTTTAAACCGGTGTGAGTCTGGATGGGTGATAATTACCCATCCAGACTCACACCGGTTTTAAACAGAGTGTTATAATACCTCCGGAACACACATTTATTCCCTTATTAAAGAACCTATTAACACTTATCGCAAAGAGAAGGGGTTTGCCCCGGTGCTTCTGTCAGTGGCTGCAATATGGCGCCGCAGCACCTTGTAAACCCTTATAAAGGTGATACATAATGGGTCTCACATTTTTCATAAACTTCATTTACCTGTTCTAAGTGCCTTGAGTACCTAATTGTTGGTAGATAAAGGCGCTATATATTGGGGTATTTGAATTGGCTAGTCTTGTCTTATAGTTATCCGGTTGTGGACGTTGGTACCACGAGCAGATATGTGATGTCACACAATGAAATAAAAAATAAGGTCCACGCTCAGCATTGAGAAGAATACATGTATGTTTAAGAATTACCTTTCAAACTATAGTTCATATCAACAGCTGAACATGAAAAAAGAAGATTCCGAGTCCATATGAATATGATATTTCGCCTCTGGGACCATATGATCATGCTATTTCAGATGTATGTTGCCTAGCAGCCGCTTTACTCCTTAGCAACAACCCTTCATAACCTGAGTAACTTAGTTAAAATTTATCTGCTCCGGCTAAATAAATATAATTATTCCATTATTGTCACCAGGGGTGTTATTTAATCACATAAACATGCTTAGAAATTTTTCAGGGTAGTAAAACAAAAGTTCCTTAGCAAAGGACCCATGAAGTGAGTAGACCAACATATATTCTTTGAGGTTTGAAGAATGGTTTCAAATTTAACTAGTGGTACACCTTGACACAAAATGAGGCCACATTGAGCTCAAATAAACATTTGCCCCATTTGAGTCCCGCCTTGGATGAGAGCTGATGTTTGCTCTTATAGAAAATGTGAAAAGTGTGCATGGGGGAATTCGCCTATGAAGAGGATACCAGGAAGAAAATGCATGTAGTTTATTCATTAAAGAGGGTTGCTTTGGACATTGCTGGCTCCTTGCCTGAAACCCAAGATGGTAATTGCAGGCTTCAAAGGAGTACCGGTAGGTGAATTATTTCACAGAGTGTCTTGTGGCTAACACTAGCTGTTGCCAAGAAATTACATAGATTATTCAGACTACGTGTCCTGACAGAATAACATTCGGACTAAGACAGACATTTTGGCTGTATTCACTGAGGTATGTAATATTTCGGGTATACATAAAACAAGAAACACTCCATATAACCCCATAATTAACGTCAAAGCAGGTTGTTCTTAGTGTAGTGCCAGAATATCAACCATTTCTGTTCCTGCATGAAGCCATTACCTTCCGTAGGAGGGGAGCTTTTTGGTCTCTCAATGACTGCCTTCGTGAGATGTTTCAGCACCCACCCGTTCATGCACCCCAGCACCTAATTCTGTTGAAGGCTCAGCATGCACAAGTATTTGTCATCATCTGATAAGGAGAGTGGTGCAGTGCAACTTGCGAGATCCTCCAAGGCTTGCTTGAAGACAGCCTTGGAGGAGGTTTCTACATAAAGAACTTGATCAATTAAACAAGTTCAATGAGTCCACGTGTACAAGGTTGAGAAGTGATAACCAACCCAACTTTGTCACCAAATGAACTTTCAACAAGTTGTATTTGTTTTGGAGATTGAAAGTTAAATTACCAAGATACTCTGTCTTCAATCTGTGGAATTTTGGTGTTTAATTGATTTATCTGTGGTCGAAAAGGTAAATATTTAGGTAAATAATCTGTCTAAGTCTGTCTGTGAATAGATGTATAGCTTTTTGGACACTTCCAGGGGACCAATTTACTGCTGGCTATTGCTTCACTGGAGGGAGAATGCGGAGGTCTGGATACACTGCTATGTTAACCATATATATTATATGGATAATAATCAGGATGGGGTAAAGGTATATAAACAAGTTTGTTGTTTGCACCTCTTATGAAGGACTAAATCTTTGCTGCACTCGCAAAATGCAACAAATCTTAATAGAAAACCGATTTTTCTTTTGGTCCAGGAACAATTTGATCAAGTTTCAAAGCAAAATGTTGTTTTTTTACTTATTTATCTTTGCCAAAAAAAACTGAGCTCAGATTGTATTTGTTCTCACCATGGCAAAAGTCACCTCGCTAGCAGGGGCAAGAGGGATCATACTCAGGTTTTCACCACAGTGTGGAAAAAGGTGCGCGCAATGCAATGGGACAAAACGTAAGCATTTTATGTTGTCACGAAGTGCAAAAACTTTCATAAATTAATCACTGTTTATTTAAGAAAGAATGTTCTATGACTATAAATTTAGCAAAGAGTAAAGCATGAGCTGTTGGACAGTGCATAATGTTTCCAAATTCTGTTGCTGTAAAGTGGTTGAAAACATTTTTTGGAAAAAAGGATTAACTTCAACAGCGATTTTCTCGATAAGAACTTTATTCCAGATTCGGAGGTTTTGGCCACTTTGTTGGCAGCTGCATTTGCAAACTTTGAAATCTCACTTTGAAATGCTAAAATGATTAATATTTCACAAAATTAATATTCAATGTGATCGGTCGCCTGCTCATTACTGAAAACCAAAAACACATACTTTTCAGGTTCTGCTCAACTATAATTTAGAAGATTTTGGCAACAACAAAAAATGAAGATACGGCATACCACCAACCGATAATGTAATATTATCGGTTGGTTTAGTGATACGTTATCCGTTTGTTACTAAATTACGAGTTGTTACAAGAATTCTCATCAACGAGTAGTTCTCTCTTCTAGTCCTGGTCTTCCTCAGCACCATGCTCTGTGGTTCAGGATTCTCAGACCATAGGCTGAGTAAAGATTCCTTTTTTTTCCATCCTCATCAGCCTTTTTCTACCCAGTCTAACACACCCAGAAGCTCAATGAGCTGTATGTTCTGTGGTGGTCATCTGTATACTTTCATATAAAGTACCCGGTATAGATGAACTTCTTGGGAATAAAAAGTGTTTTCAAAAAAAGTAGAGCTTAATGCCGAATTTGCCTCTATCATTTTCACTGCTCATCCATGGGCCATTAGCTACTAGTCTGCAACACTAATTCAACAGTCTACATCTAAAAACTTGATTTATTACCACAGTGTGTTACACTAGCCACGCACTAGCTAACAAACTAAATATCGATCAAACTACTCCAACAATGGGAAATTATATGAATATTAAATAGAGTAATTGAAAAAAAAAATACCTAAAATGTTCCCGATGTCCCCTCTGAGTCTTTATACCATTGGATACTAACTCCATGTAGCAAGATAGCAATTTGAAATAAATGGCCATTTTAACATTTCCGTATTAACCAGCCAAGGAAAACAACAAACATACAACTTGTTTGCAATTATATCAGTGTAAATATAAACAGAGGCTATGGCCCCAATATAGAATTAGGATCTCAAGGTATACAAGGGCAGTAGTACCATCAAGCCTACTTTACTCAACCGAAACATACACATTTTATCAACATCATATCCAGAAGCTAAATCAGGTTCAACTTCATCACTTTTGTGCTATTCTCAACATCAAGTGGTGAGACCACAACACCAACACCAAAGTCCTTAGAAGGGCAGGTATGATCAGCATTAAGTCCATGCTGCTCGCACGACAGCTACGTTGGAGTTTTCATCTTGTCCATATGACATCTGCCTACCAAAAGCGATCTTCTACAGGAAACTAGCTCATGGGCTACGTACGTTACAAGGACTGCTTGAAACGGCACCATCAAGCAGCTAGTTTACCACTCACCAGCCGAAAAACTCAGGAAAACATGGCGCTCACTCATCAAGAAAGGGGTCCCTGGTAGCCAAGAAATCCTGGAAACAAGCAGTAGAGGAAAGGAGGATGCGAGAAGCCATCTTTCCAATGCAGATACTGTGACTTGCTGTTATCAGCCAGGATTGGCAACTATGCACATGAGAAGTCATACCAACTCAAGCTACTATATATGACCAAAATTATCATGAACATTACATCAACCCCTAGAATCATTCATTCATTTCTAGTCAAGCTTGTACCATTCTGAGCAGCAATGTCATTGCTTATAGGAATCTGATCTATAAATAAAGGCACTTATTCAACGTTAATTAATCTGTAAACATTTACACCTTTTGCCAATACTGATACATTATTGGTTGATTTTTGATGCGTTTTCAGTTGAAACAGTATCCTTTCTTTGGTGATACATATGGTTAGACATTTGATTTTGATTATTTTTTTTTATTACATTACCCCTGGACACGTGATACATTATCAATTTTCTGTCAGTCAATTTTTGCTACATTATCAGTTAGTGACACAATATCGTTCAATTTGTGTGACATTATCAGTTGGTGATATGTTTATCCTTTGGTTACTACATTAATCAGTTGTAACAACTCCTTATCATACTGTCCTGTCTTGGGCCCCTTACCAAATGTAATAGGGGGCTGGGTCTACATTGTAATGAAACTCTTCTTTTGCTCGGGGGTGCTCCACACAAAGAGGGAAGGGGTACAAAAATCAAGGGGGGGAACTGAGGCTTTTTCCTGTTTGTGACTTTGATTCTTGGGTTTGTGAGATCCTTGTTGGTTGATTATATTAAAATGCCATTTTTGTGTTTCCTAGACCAATTTGACAACCAGGGTAGCTAGAAAGATGGGATAGGAATCAGAAGAAAAATATGATTGCCCGAATTCTCCACTTTATGCATGTTCTCCTCCTTAGTTTGTCCGGTTTGAAATGGTAAAAGTGACTCTTCATGCAAGTGTACAGACATTGAAGTAAAATGTTGGAAAAACAACAAAGGCTCACAACAAATTAACAACGAAACAAAGCAAGTAAATTTAAAAACAAAAAATCTTCTTTTTTTATAATGTCTGTTTGACAGGAGAATGTCCAAGATGAAGCCTCTCCAGCCATATCATAAGAAAGAGGGTAGAACACACATTGAAAGAGTAATTGAACAGTCATGCAGTGATGCCGATTCTGAGAAAAAGGTCATGAAAGGAGGAAGTGTAGATGATACTTCTAATCATGTCGCCACCCTGAGGAAAGCATTCAGTTCAGATGACAGCAAGCCATACAGTAAGCATGGGCAAGAAATACTTAAGGTATGTATCTTGTTAGCTCATACAGAGTATTTAGAGGGGTCAATTCCTTTTATAAATAAAGACACTTCTGTGCATATGTCCCTGGAGAGCAACATTCCCTTCTCTACACTCCATAACTCATCCCAAATTCCTTGTGGTTTGCCAACCGTACGTGTTGTTCCTTTTTGTTTATTCCTTTTTTAATCCCTTTTAGTTCTACCCTCTTAAAGCTACAGTCCATCATTTGTAATTCGTGCATTTTGTTCGTTTGAAGCAACAAAAGAGTTCAAAATCTAATGAAGGATACTGAGCAACTAACCTGATGAAGTTTCAGCTAAGCTTCAGCTGTACATTCCGAGAAAAACAGCATTCTAAGATCTCAATTTCAAATCCAAAGTTACTGAATCATGTTTTGAATTGTTTTGAATTGCAGCTATACGCGACGTCGCGCACTGATCCGACGAATTATAACAACCGCGCGCGCGTGTGCTTCGTTCCAATACTTGTGCGCGCTTGCACTGAATAACAAAACGAACTACTAATTTAAATTTTCCTACGGTGCTTCTTAAGAACCACCGTTGGAAATGCCTTCTTTCGTTGATTACTTCAAAATGACAGCTTGCCAGAAAGAATAATTTCACAGGGAGTTTAGTCCCCTTACTATCTTTCAACCAAGTTTTGTTTTTCAACAATAATTACGCCAGTTACTTTTCGGATGGCTGCAAATGATGGACTATACCTTTAAAATGCAAGAGTAAATTATAACACTGCATCAGTGGGTGAGGAGGAAAATGTGAGTGGATGTCAGACTTGATTGACCCAAATTTGTATCTTAAGTTCAAAGGCCATACAAGGTATGTATTTGTATTTGGTTATTATGTGGAGGAATCTGTCCCAAATTAATGTGTCAAAGTTTGAATATTAAGAGGTTAACTTTAAAGTTAAATGTCTTTGCTGAATTTTCATATAATAATTCTCTTGGAAAGTATAACAAAACCTTTAGAGCACTCTCCAGTCAATCTGGGTTTCCCCCCCCAAAAAAAATGGTTTTCTCCTGTGTCACCCACATATGCCGAAATTCTTTTTCTGTGTATATTTCCAGTTGAACAATGTATAAGGTAAAACAGTGCTCACCTTCACGTTGGTGGTGCCGAATTTTCTGAGGTTCCGTTCGTCAGAGCTTGTTGGCAACTGCTGCATCGTGCTGGTTAAATATATTCGGATACCGGTATATATTTCTAGTTATATACTTCCAGTTATACACAATTATTTCAGACTTCACCCGGCATAAAGTATTCATGTACAGATTGATACAGGCAGCTTCGCATAGAGCTTGTTAAAATAGCATAAAAGTCATAAAAATGGTCATAAAAATGTCATTAAATGATCATAAAAATTGAAAAACATCCTGCAAAATGGCACTGTATATGGATTTTATAGGGTATCTACATGCACATGTTCTGTCTGAATCTAACACAGATTATGACAATATCTGTTGCTTCCCAGTCCATTTTGGGGTGCTCAAAACTGTAGAACTTCTTTTTAAAACAATGTTCCTGATATTTGGGTTTCCTCTTCTTCTTTTTTAACTCACTCTGTATACGCCTCACTTCGATTTTCTATATCAATTTATGCTACCTTACCGATCATGTATTTTAACCAAAAAATGTTGGACTTAAAGCATGGAACAACAGTTTTACGGGAAATGTTGCACAAAAAAATCTCATCAGGCCCAAAAATGAACATCTTCGAGGGACGATGTATGAGTTTCTTTTGTAGGAATGGACCCTGAGACAATTAGGAAAAGTTTGACTCAGAGCTACAACATGTCCTCATGTTTACAGATGGACATATCTTTACAGACCCTTATGGTCTGTAAGGATTTGTTTAACGATCAGGATCTCACACATTGATGGTTCAAAAATTCAAAATTACCTTTTAGTCACTAAAAATGCTATGAAACATTGAGTCAACGTTAACATTGGGTCTTAGGTTCATTAAAAGTAACATAGAAATCGTCAAAAATGGTGGCAAAATAATCCTTAAAACTTAAAAAGCCTTATTTTTGTTTGTTTAATCATTAATAATTTTCTTAAAAGATACAAAGAACAATTTATTCCCTGTACTCTTGTTTAAAATTGTGCATACAGTAGCTTTTCCATTCCAAAAAGTAAGTACACAACATAGCTAGTTTTGGAGTTACGTAAGCATAATATAACTGCATTAAAGGGAATGTACAACATTTGCTTTTGCTGCAATTTTCAGAAATAAATGGATTTGGAGGATTAGTATGTTATGGCAAATATTGTTAAACTGACTTGCTTCACGTTTTGGGTTCGGAGATGCTGGGAAATCCAAGAAAACCAACCATATTCTTGTAGTCTGGTTCCCTGACCCCACTTAAGATGAGGCGGAGCAATTTATAGACTTAGGGGAATTGTATGGTCAGAGAATCAGTCTAGCAGGCTTGTACCCCTTCACAGGTGTGTAATCAATTGCAAAGAAAATGCGGAGTAACTAAATGTGAAAAATTAGGAGCAGTTGTTTTTTTTTAAGCCAGTTTTCTCCAATGCTGGTTGGAAAAATAGTGTTTGAAAAATACAAGTTTTCTAGAAAATGACAGCACACCAGGAGCCACGATTTTACAGGATACTTAAGACTGTCATTCCCTAACAATCCAGTGAGATATTTCATGATAATTTGATCATTTTGTGTTTTGATGTTTGCAAATGTTGTATCTTCCCTTTAACCAGCCTTTACAAAAGCTACCAAGAGTGATAGGGGTGAGGTTGTTTGATAGTTTGTGATAGTTATAAGTATAGGACGGTTAATAGGTCACAACTGTGTTCAGGAAAAGACATGATGTTTAAGAGGGGTTACTCTTTTGTGCCAATTACATGTGGTTTGCATGTATACAAAGAGCATTAAATGTATATAGCGTGTTTTTGTCAGTATAGATAAATACCTACGACATCAGGCAAGTGTAGATCTCAGTAAAATTAATGTCCATATTCAGAAAAGGACACAAATGTTAACGATGTTTAAAAATTGGTATGAAGGCAGCAGGACATTTCACACAGAGATTTCCAGTTGGATATTGTTAGAACATTAATGCCCCTCTTACAAGTTGGTTACATAGCTATTTTATAAAATTGCTTTCCCCGTACAATTGTGCTCCTTTATTTAATATATAATCTTAATTACCCAATCATCTTCATATTCATCTGCCCGAATTCTGTAACTTCTGTTTGTTACTGCCTTTTACAAATCCTTTTCTGTTTCGAGTAATAACAAAGAAAATCTGACAGTGCACTTAAAGATGTACATGCAGGAGCATACCACAACAGTAAAAATTTATACGACAGTATAAACTCAGCAATCGCTAGAACTTTTTCGGGATAAAAATTATTTTCAGCATCTAGAAATCAAGTGAGTTAAACTTTTTGAAAATGGCTTGATAAATATATTTATACGATTTCATTGGATATATATAATATATATATATATGCAATAAATTCAGAATATGAGTTAAACAAACTGTGGCATATCTCTCTTCTGGACAGACTGTTTCGTACCATAAGGCACTCATCAACAGAATGACGAAAAATAGAATACAAGTAGCATCTTACCTTATTTCGAATCAAGCGCACGCGTTACGCGCGTTACGTCATTGAAGTTAGTATGCGTTTACGTCACTGAAGTAAGAACACATCTGTCTCGATGCCTGCACTTGGAGACGATTTCGCTTCTCTTATTCAGTGTACCTAGATCTGGCCTACATATGATTATGTACTTCTCTGCTATACACAAATTGCATCTCTTGTTTACGTTAGAGTATGGCAGTGCTTTCTGAACAATGTCCCATTTGATTTCATAGTCTTTCCCCTCGTCCTTTAAGTCCCATATATGTTTACTTAGCTCTGTTTGCGCCCTCTTGCTCTCGGATCGGAATGACTGCTTGTGGTTCGCCAGTCTCGCCTTGAAGGTTGTGGATGTCAGCCCAATGTATGCCTCCTTCCTGCCTTCGCTCGTGACGGTGGCCTGGTACACGATGTTCTTGCTGAGGCACTCCCCGTTCAGCGGGCATTTCGGGGGCAACTGCATGTTCTACCACCGACGTCGTCCTCTTGTTTTACGTTGCCTTCATGTTCGGCATGCAGCTGTACGATAACTTTACTGTGTTCCGGTTGAGCACTTTGTGAAGTTTATGTTCCTTGGGGAAGCGTTTGTCTATAATCTGAAGGAATTTCAGCTTCAACGACCCTTGCGTGTGCTTTGTGTGCATGTACGCACACCCAACACACACTTCCGCAAACAGCCGTACAGTAAGTCGAGGAGGATAGCCTTGACACAACCGTGGCGAATTCCTTATGTGTTTCTTTATATTTTCGGCCAAACTCGGCCGAGAATTTCTGATGCGCATATATTACACGATATCCAATCAAATTTATCGAATGCAGGTTAACTCGTATCTATTCATGTTGCAACCGTAGGAATTAACTGCAAGAAACGAGGTATTGACTTTGGGATTGAAATATACGAAACTGTCATATAGGGACTTGGTGAATAAAATCGCTCCCTGAATTCGTACCATGTGCAACATATATTTCATACATACGACACATGTATTTTAACGCGTACGTACGAATTGTATGTCACCTATGACATACGTACTTCACGTAAGTCGTAGGTATAACATATAAATCGTACCTATATGTCGTATGACATACAAGTCATACATACGAGTTACAATACATATGTCGTACATACGAGATACAAGTCGTACTCACAAGATATGTCGTATGTACGACATATTCGACAAACAAGTCGAACGTACGAGTAAAAATTCATATGTTGTACACACGAGATATTAAGTCGTACTTATGTACGACAAAGTCGTATGCGACATATCGTACCCTGTCGACTCGACATATAAGATCGTACGCACGACATATATGTCATACCGGCACCTGTCGACATTATGTCATATGTGTGATATGTCATACCCTGTCGACATATTATGTCGTACCCTGTCGGTATATTCGTCGTACCCTGTCAACATATATATGTCGTACCCTGTCGATATATTAGTCGTACTGTTCTTATTCCTCCATGATACGACATATAACTTATAACTCATTCATACAAGTTAAAATCAGTCTTAAGTTAGCTGAAGGAAAAAGCCCGGTCGGTGCCTACAATTGACGGCCCCGAAGTGGTCTCTGTGCGCGGTGACATCGTTTTTGCCGGCGTGCGGTTTGTAGGCCGTTCGCCGTTTTGTGAAAAGTCTAATTTTTGATCCTGTTCATTTCATTTTCGACCCAAACTATGTATAACTATATAAATATTATTGTACTATTATTTAAGATTTCAAGGGGGTGTTTTACAATGATTATTGTTACCACAGGGACGTCTGGTTTATAAACCTTTGGTCGCATTATGCAATTTAATAAATATTCATTTTTTTGGCAGCCATTATCCAATGAGAGAAGACTATTTACCATAGCGCGTACTAATTATCATATTGAGCCTACACGGTTGCGTCAAGGCTATCCTCTGCCTCGATTTACTGTACGGCTGTTTGCAGAAGTGTGTGTGGGGTGTGCGTACATGCACACAAAGCACACGCAAGGGTCGTTTAAGCTAACGGTATAGTAATAGTGTCGCGGCGCGCGCTGTGTGCGGTAGTGGGAACAAGCTCGTATGGAAACAAACTGAAAGCCTTGGTCAAGGCTATGGTACCCTACAAGTCGGTCTTTCGAAATCTTAGTACCCCCGTATGTAAAACGCTATGGAGTTTGAGATTTCAATAGGAACAATAGGAACAAAGGAGAGTAAAAGAAGGGAAGTCAAGTGGACAATAGTAGTACCCCATAACTACCCCAAAAAAAACATGGGTGGGTGCGCGTGTGTGTGGGTGTGTGTCCAGAAAAAAAATCTTGTCAGCGCGATAACTTGAGAAGTAAATCAAATTAGGTTTTGCCCTTCACCGACGTATAAAAACTGTATACTCAGTGTGTTACCTCCCCAGTGAAAGTTGAAAAAAATTCACTCAGGTGGGACTCGAACCCACGACCTCCTGCTTTCTAGTGCAGATGTCTTATATTACCACTTGACCACCAAGCTAATGGGATCGGTTGGCTGGTTAGAATCTGATGTACATTAGCATACGTCGGTGAAGGGCAAAACCTAATTTGATTTACATTACCCCGACGCAAAATTCCATCTTATGAACTTGAGAAATACTTAATATATGAACTTCAAATTTGGTGTGTGAATTGTTCTTGGTAATCCTAAGAAGTCTTATTGCATTTGGGGCCGAAAGGTCAAGGTCACAGTGGCTACAACAATAGAAATCTTGGTGTTTTTTTGTTGTCTCTTTACATTCACTCACTCTTTTACATCACATACAATGACTTCCCAACAGAAAAGCCAAAAAAAAAACACATTATATTTATTCTAAGATCATAGGGATTAATTCAAATATAACCTACAGAAAACAATAATGATGTCAATGAACGTTCCATGTGACCCAGGTACATGTAACCCCCGGTTCAGACAGGCGTTCCAGAGTCCAGAGCGACTCCAGGTCGACGTTATTCGCCTGGCCGTGTAATACGTAATCGCTGCATCGACGCTGATTGAGAACGTACTGCGCGAAGTGCGCACGTATCGAAGAAGACAGCTAGCACGTTCTATATCTATGAACACGTACGCCATGTGCGCTCACGTTATCTCTTGCACGTCACGCCACGTACGAACAATTTGTATTTCAAGACTGCGCCGTGCCTGTACAACATGGATACTGGAAGTCTTGGTTTCCTGCTTTAAAAAAAATGCATCTTGTGTTGTATTGGGGTGACAGTGGGACGTACATATATTGTAAGTTTTTGCTCTGTAACACGACATCGAAATCTCGTGTTTGAAAGGATGTAAATCTGCAAAAAGAAAACTTTTAAATTATAAGGCACTGCGTCGCGCATTAAACACATTGCCTGCAGTCCTTATTTTTGAAGGTCACTGCTTATTTACATACATTTACATACATTTGAATTGAGTTCGACTCATGACTAGAGCGACGTCTGAAACCAAGTCGCTCCTGAGATGTTCTAATGACTCCAACAGTCGATCTTTCGCCATCGAGCACGTCAAGTCGATCCTAATTGTTTCAGACGTCGGACTTTTGACGCATTTAATTCAAATCTAGACTTTCATTTGGTTCGGCGCGACTCTGGAACGCCTGTCTGAACCTAGTGTTAGTTGATGTCGAAAGAGTGGTGTTATGTCATGGGAACAGTCACGGTTGCGGGGCATTTGTGTTTGTAAACACACCTGACTTGTTTTTTAAGTTGTTGTTAGCTCCTTCGAATGAGTTCAGTGAGGAGTTTGAAAATGTACAGTTAAAAAGGTAAAAAAAAATTAAAAAAATCGCAGTACACCCCTTTAATCTCATCATTCAGCTTGGTAATGGTATCACCATTTTCTGATTCAACACCCCCTATTAGGTAAAATAACTGTTACCAACTTCTACACAAACAAAATCTCTTAATTGAACATTTTTTAAATATCAACTTGACTATAATTTATAAATATCGACTTGACTATATAAAAATGTGTTAAGCTTGTCTGTACAAATTTGTCAGGACACAATTGAACAGAATTTAGCATTTGTTAGAGAATCCCTGCCATTTTGCCAAAACATGAAGTATTCAAAAACAGTAAACTTCATTTTGGATGTAATAATATGAAATATCCCCTAAATTTGTAATGTTAATGCGTGTTAACAAGAGTGTTTAGGAAAGGAAATTTGTCTTTGACTTGTTTAACAAGTGGCCGATTGTAGAACGTGTTTCGGACGCTGAATTCAGGCCCAGTTCAAATATGTTTGATATGAAATCGAGATTCTAGAATTTTTTTTTCTCGGAATATACAGCATTATCTGAGCTGAAACTTCATTGGATTAGTTGTGTTAAACGCCCGTGTATAATAGATTTTTAGCACTTCTGTTGTTTCCAACGAACAAAATGCAAAAGTTAAAGGTGATCTCCTTTTTAATCATTTTTGAGTAGCCACACAATGGTCATTGGTAAGGTACAACTTGCACATCTTGCCTTCAGTAGAAGCATCTTTTAGAGCGCTCTAAACAAATCATAAGAATTCGGGAAAAAATTTAATAAAAACAAAATATGTTTAAGGGTCCCTTTAACTGTTAAGAAAATGATGTGTTCTGGATGGTAATAAGTTATATGTTTGGGGCCCAGCAACGGAGTATGCACGTTTCCCTGTATTCATGGTGGTGCGAGGGATGACCAAATTGCTCCCGGGAAGGGGCCTAATTTGCATAAATCCTCTTATTGCTTTTAAAAAAAAAATTAAAATGTATATTTTGGTGATTCTACTTACACATCCTTATTCCAATAGCATTTTTCAACAGATTTAAATGACTGAATCATTGTGAGGACATAGTAACGATACAAAATGTCTACCATTATACCCTAAAGTTGTGCACATTTCCCTTGTTTCAAGATATTAAATAGTCTTGCCAAACCTCGGTTTTGATGAGCTTCAAAATCATCAAGTTGCTCACTGGCCTAGTTACCCTATTAAAACCTTATGGAAAATCATGTCAACATTAATAACATTGATTTTTTGCCCAGGTGTCCACCTCATTTTAATCCCCTTTCCTTTTTAAAAATATTTTTGTTGGGGGGGGGGGCTAAATATCAAGATGTTATCATTTTTCACATTGTGAATTTGAAGCTCGTCAATACTGCGGTTTGGAAAGATTACTTGATATCTGAGGAAAAGGTAAATGCGCGCAAAAATGCACGAGTACAATGGTAACCATTTTTGGATCTTTAGTATGTCCTCGTAATCATCCAGTCTCTGATATGCTCTAGAAAATATTCTTTAAGTAAGGATATATAAGTAGAATCCCAAAATATACTTTTCCAAATAAATGAACAAAATTAAAATATACCCAAATATGGGAATAAATATATTACATGGCAGGCTTTAACGCTTTATGCAAATAAGGCACCCTTTCCAAACTAATTTCAGCCAAGTTTGGTGATTTGGACCAGCCAGTCACAATTCCTACCATATGCCACCTATAAAAACTATAAAAAATGAATATAAATTTGTAAAAAAGCATAAGACCGGTAAGGAACACGAGCATTCTTTGTGAGTGACGTGAAGTTAACCACCAGATCATTGGATTTAGCACGGATTTGTCTTTGGGTTATCGTAGATACCTGACGGTGGATGATTACTCCACCAGGCAAACAGTGGGAAAATTGTAAAAAGTTAAAACAATACTCACTGATGTTCTATGAGAGTTGTCAAATTTGATGGTTCTTCAAATAATTTGGCAACTTTCAGAGATCAGCAGTGAGCACTGTTTTAACTATTTATATTTTTCTCAAAAATTAAATATCTCCCCTCCTTAAACTTTTGTTTTAAGTGCAAACTCAACGGAGACTTATGTCCTTCATTTAGTCATGTATTTGGAATCCATTGTCATGGCTTTCAAAGAGACAACTACAAATTATTTAATTTCATGTGTTTTTTTTAATTTCTTTAAAATAATGCTGCTCTTATTAAATGGTTGTAATGTTTAAAAATGACAGAACTTTATTTAATTTCGCAGGGATTTCAGAACAAAAGGCAAGACAGGAGGCCGACTTGGAATCCAACAAAAGAAGGCTATTTGGAAAAACTTAGCAACACCAAGACGCCGCTTACCTCTTCATGGAATAGACGCTTCTTTGAGCTAACAACAAATGGTCACCTTTATTATAGTAAGCGGAAAAATGAAAAAAATGTGGAGTCGATTTATTTGCGAGGCGTTCCTGTGGCACTTGAAGATGATAAAACTTTAACTGTGCAGACTGAAGAAAGATGTTACAAGCTTCGAGCAAATTCCAGCAAGGAAGCGCAACAGTGGCTGGAGTGCCTTCTTTTCTACACGCACAAACCAGCCAGTGTTCCAAAACGGTCACCCACACCAAAAACATTTGAGGTGCACTAACAATCATACTTACTTATTTCAATCAGTTTGCTAGTGAACTTTTGTTTTGTGACCATTCTCTGGAATTACCACATTGTTTAAACTTATTGATTGTTTATTGGTTTGGCGTGGAGTTGAGTTGTTATTATATTTTATATAACCGACATACAGATCCTTGTCATTTGATAGGTGGAACTGACATCACGTGACATTCGTTATTGCTCCCATTCACGTCGGGGCTCAAGAAGCCCCATTCGCCCATGGGAAATACTATTCAACAGTTGGGATCATTCTTGTTCCATGATGTATTTGTGTGCAAATGCATGCTGGTGTGAAAGGCTCAGCCAGCACTACAGAGTTGGGTCCAAACATTTTCGTGAAGGGGTCGTTTGGAGAAAGAAATACGTTTTCCAAATAGAGCTCAGTTAAATTACTAGTGCGCTGACAAAGTGATTCCTGCTGGGCGTACCATGTTTGTGCAAACACCTATGGAAAACTCGAAATTGTGTACGTATGCTGTGCGTCAATTTGCATATCTGCGTTTGTATTCTGTACAGGTGCGTTATTGGAGCTGATACGCCCAAAACCGCGAAGTACGATCAGCAAATGAGCATTTTATTTTGCTCTACGCAAACAGCGCAATACGTGCGCGTATCAGCTGCGGGATGATTAACATGACTTTAAAAAAAAACACCATCGGTGACGAGCTTGCGCGTTGCAATTTAGAGTACACTTTCAATATAAAATCATCTAATTTGATGATTATGCTCTACAAACGCCCACATGAATTCAAAATGTCTGCCCCCAGGATGGCTTCAAAGCGTCTCCGCGCCCAAGAATGAGGAGTTAGCGCTCTAGTAATTTAATATAGCTCTGGTTTTCCAACCAATCTTGTATTGGAATAACATTTTAATTTAATGATCTTCGCCTCGTGAAATGGAAAAAGTCCAGAATTTACGGAGCGATAAATATTCCTCCCATTTCACTCTGAGCCACTCGATATTGTATAATATTGTTTTGTAATTGTATTTTAAAAACTTCCTGAAATATATTTGTAATGTACATTATATTTTGCGTTAATGTTAGATTGTGTTAATTTGTAAAGCATAAATAGTTATGTGAATTCGTCGAAAAATCACTGAGGTCTATATTTCACACTACAAATTTAACCTGTATGTCTTTTAGGGTCGGATTGTCACAAATCTCTCCTCGGCATTTATTTCAGACATTATCCTCATCGTTTTTAAAGCACAAAGCTTGTTCAAAACTATCTGTTTTTGAATAACTGATTTAGAATCTTTGGGAAGTTTATTAAACTCTGAACTTGCCATTAATGTTCTCACAGCATCTTTCTTTTCTTACCGTTTGTTAGAATTTATGAGTACAGAGCTCACAATTCACAGGTGCGAACTGTATAAGGAGTGCAAATTGCAGTGTTACTGTCGAAGTTTGAAGTACAAAGCTCTTATTGCAGAGTTTGCCGTTAAGAGTTCCAAGTTCAGAGTTCAAATTCGCAGTTCTCAGTTCAAAAATCAGAGTTCAAAGTTAAGAATCGGATTTCAAAGTTCAGAGTTCGCATTTCACAGTTCAAAGTTCAGATATCAATGTTCAGAGTTCAATGTTCGCAGTTCAAAGTCAACAGTTGAAAGTTCTCAGCTCAAAGTTCGCAAGTTTAGAGTTCAAAGTTGGCAGTTCAGAGTTCAGTCAGAGGCATAATTCGCAGTTAATTCAAAATGCAAAGTTCAGAATGCAGAATTCGCAGTGCAGAGTTCATTGGTTAAAGATCACAGTTCAAAGTAAAGAGTTCAGAGTTCAAATTTTAGAATCAGAAGTTAAGAGATAAGAGTTCAATGTTCGCAGTTCAAAGTTCAATTCTTGCAGATCACAGTTTGCAGTTCAAGTTCACAGTTCAAAGTTGAGTAATCAAAGTGCAGAATTTGCAGTTTATAATTCAAAGTTTAGGGTTCCGAGTTCAGTTGTCGCAGATCAAAGTTCGCAATTCAAACTCGCATTTGCAGTTTAATGTTCGACTTTGAAACTTCAAAAGTCAAGTTCAAAGTTAAGAGTTCAAAATTCAAATTCAGAGTTCAAAGTTCAATTCTCGAAGATCAAAGGTCGCAGTTCAAACTGTTAAGTTAAGAGTACACAGTTTTTAGTTCACAGTTCAGAAGTTCAATTGTCGCAGATCAAGGTTCAAAATGCAAACTATGCAGTCCTCAGTTCCAAGTTCAATGTTCCGAGTACAAAGTTCATAGTTCAGAGCTTAAAGCTCCTAGTTCAGAATTCAATTCTCGCAGATCACCGCTCGCATTTCAAAGTTGGCAGTTCGCAGTTCAAAGTTCAATTCTTCAAGTTCAAAGTTCAATTCTCCTAGATCAAAGTTCGATATTCAAACTTTGCAGTTCCAAGTTCAAGTTCCAAGCTCAAAGTTCCAAACTTCAGAGTTCAAATCTCGCAGATCAAAGCTCGCAGTTCAAAATTTTAGCTCAAAGATCAAAGTTCAAATTCAGAGCTAAATTCTCTGATCAAATTTTGAAGCTCCATTTTCGCAGACCAAAATTCAAGTTTAAGTTCAAAGCTCAAAGCTCAAATTCTGTCAGATCGAGTTTGAACTTGAGTTCAGAGTCCAATTCTCGCAGATCAAAGTTCAGAATTTAATTCTCGCAGATCAAATTTCGAAATTTCAAGCTCAAGTTCAAAGTTCAAGTGTAAAGGTTCAGAGTTTAAACTTAACGTTCAGAGTTCAACGTTCGCAGTTTAGAGTTCAATTCTCGCAGATTAACTCTTGTATTAGAAAGTTTGAACTTGAATTTAAATCACTTTCCGAGTTCAAAGTTCAAGTTCAAAGTTCATGTTTAAGAGTTCAGAGTTCCAAGTTCATAAATGAAACTTCAGCTTTCAACGTTGGCAGTTCAAATTTCCATTCTCGCAGATCAAAGTCCGCTTTTCAAGTTCAAAGTTCAGTATTCAAAGTTCGCAATTAAAGGTTCATTTAAAAGATTAACTCTTGCATTTGAAAGTTCAAAGTTCAATTATCGCAGATTAACTTTTCCAGTTTTAAGTTCAAATTCAAAGTTCAAGTTCAAAGTTCATGTTTAAGAGTTCAGAGTTCCAAGTTCATAAATGAAACTTCAGCTTTCAACGTTGGCAGTTCAAATTTCCATTCTCGCAGATCAAAGTCCGCTTTTCAAGTTCAAAGTTCAGTATTCAAAGTTCGCAATTAAAGGTTCATTTAAAAGATTAACTCTTGCATTTGAAAGTTCAAAGTTCAATTATCGCAGATTAACTTTTCCAGTTTTAAGTTCAAATTCAAAGTTCAAGTTCAAAGTCCATGTTCAACGGTGCAGAGTTCCAAATTCAGCTTTCAAAGTTCGCAAATCAAAGTTCGCAGTTCAAAACTCGCAAGTTCAAGTTCATGTTCAAAAGTTCAGAGTTCCAACTTTAGCGTTCAAAGTTAGTTCGCAGTTCTCGCAGATCAAAAGCTTGCAGTTCGAAATTCCAAGCTCAAGTTCAAAGTTCAAGTGCAAAGGTTAAAACCTTAACGTTCAGAGTTCAAAGTTCGCAGTTTAGAATTCAATTCTCAATTCAATTCAAGTTTGAACTTGAACTTGGATTTTGATCGCTTTCCGAGTTCAAAGTTCAAGTTCAAAGTTCATGTTCAAGAGTTTAGAGTTCAGAGTTCCAAGTTCATAATTGAAGCTTCAGCTTTCAACGTTGGCAGTTCAAATTTCCATTCTCGCAGATCAAAGTTCGCTGTTTAAAACTCGGAAGTTCAAGTTCAAAGTTCATATTCATAAACTCGGAGTTCAAACTTCAGCGTTCAAAGTAAGTTCGCAGTTCTCGCAGATCAAAAGCTTGCAGTTCGAAATTCCAAGCTCAAGTTCAAAGTTCAAGTGCAAAGGTTCAGAGTTAAAACTTAACGTTGAAAAGTTCAAGTTCAAGTTCAGAGTCCAATCCTCGCAGGTCAAAGTTCGCATTTCAAAGATCAAGGTTCAGAGCTCACTTTTCTCAAATCAAAATTTGCAGTTCAATTGTCGCAGATCAAAACGTCAAGTTCAAGTTCAGAGTCCAATCCTCGCAGGTCAAAGTTCAAAGATCAGAGATTAAAGATCAAAGTTCAGAGCTCAATTCTCTCCGATCAAAATTTGCAGTTCAATTGTCGCAGATCAAAATGTCAAGTTCAAGTTCAGAGTCCAATCCTCGCACATCAAAGTTCGCAATTTAAAGATCAAGGTTCAGAGCTCACTTTTCTCTAATCAAAATATGCAGTTCAATTGTCGCAGATCAAAACGTCAAGTTCAAGTTCAGAGTCCAATCCTCGCAGGTCAAAGTTCAAAGATCAGAGATTAAAGATCAAAGTTCAAAACTCAATTCTCTCCCATCAAAATTTGCAGGTCAATTGTCACAGATCAAAACTCAAGTTCAAGTTCAGAGTCCAATCCTCGCAGGTCAAAGTTCAAAGATCAGAGATTAAAGATCAAAGTTCAAAGCTCAATTCTCTCCGATCAAAATTTGCAGGTCAATTGTCACAGATCAAAATGTCAAGTTCAAGTTCAGAGTCCAATCCTCGCAGGTCAAAGTTCAAAGATCAGAGATTAAAGATCAAAGTTCAGAGCTCAATTCTCTCCGATCAAAATTTGCATGTCAATTGTCACAGATCAAAATGTCAAGTTCAAGTTCAGAGTCCAATCCTCGCAGGTCAAAGTTCAAAGATCAGAGATTAAAGATCAAAGTTCAAATCTCAATTCTCTCCGATCAAAATTTGCAGGTCAATTGTCACAGATCAAAATGTCAAGTTCAAGTTCAGAGTCCAATCCTCGCAGGTCAAAGTTCAAAGATCAGAGATTAAAGATCAAAGTTCAAAGCTCAATTCTCTCCGATCAAAATTTGCATGTCAATTGTCACAGATCAAAATGTCAAGTTCAAGTTCAGAGTCCAATCCTCGCAGGTCAAAGTTCAAAGATCAGAGATTAAAGATCATAGTTCAAATCTCAATTCTCTCCGATCAAAATTTGCAGGTCAATTGTCACAGATCAAAATGTCAAGTTCAAGTTCAGAGTCCAATCCTCGCTGGTCAAAGATAAGAGATTAAAGATCAAAGTTCAGAGCTAAATTCTCTCCGATCAAAATTTGCAGTTCAATTGTCGCAGATCAAAAGTTCAAGTTCAAGTTCAGAGTCCAATCCTCGCAGGTCAAAGTTCAAAGATCAGAGATTAAAGATCAAAGTTCAAAGCTCAATTCTCTCCGATCAAAATTTGCAGTTCAATTGTCGCAGATCATAATTTCAAGTTCAAGTTCAATCCTCGCAGATCAAAGTTCGCATCAGAGATCAAGGTTCAGAGCTCATTTTTCTCAAATCAAAATTTGCAGTTTTATTTTCGCCGATCAAAATTTGAAGCTCAAGTTCAAAATTCAAGTGCAAAGGTTCAGAGTTTACACTTAACGTTCAAAGTTTGCAGTTTAGAGTTCAATTCTCGCAGATTTACTCTTGCCTTTGAAAGTTTGAACTTGAACTTGAATTTTGATCACTTTCCGAGTTCAAAGTTCAAGTTCAAAGTTCATGTTCAATAGTTTAGAGTTCAGAAGTCCAAGTTCATAATTGAAACTTCAGCTTTCAACGTTGGCAGTTCAAATTTCCATTCTCGCAGATCAAAGTTCGCTGTTTAAAACTCGCAAGTTCAAGTTCAAAGTTCATGTTCATAAACTCGGAGTTCAAACTTCAGCGTTCAAAGTAAGTTCGCAGTTCTCGCAG